GCACATGTGAGATGGTACATTGCTAAGTCTCACATGTGAGATGGTACATTGCTTAGTCTCACATGTGAGATGGTACATTGCTTGGTTCTCACAGCTGAGATGGTACATTGCTTGGTTATCACGGGTGAGAGAGTTGCTTTTTTGTTTCTTCTTCTCATCACAATTTTCGCCTGGGACAGTGACTGATGTTTTAACTGTTCTTTGCAGGCACCATAATGGAGCCAATATGGGTTGATTTGTTGCTATGTGGTTGAAATCGCAACCAGACTGCCAGTAGATAATCAACATTATCTTTGGTTGCTTATTGGCCCCCCCCCCCCCCCTTTTTCCGTTAATAATTTCCTTTTATCAATATAAAAACTAAGGAAAGCAAACTAACAAATTTTCAGGACAGTCTTTTTAACTGATTTTAATGAATTTCAAAAAGCAAAAGCAAGCAGCACCACATATTATTCTAAGATGCAGCAACAAAGAAAGCTGGTGAGACAAGTTTTCCTTTCCTTTCTCCTCCTCTTGGTATACTCTGGGTTGTTGTTTAGACTTAATTTTATAAACTGGAAACATATGGCTTATTTATTGAGTGTGTCCTGAATACTTGTCACTAAAGATATCAGCTGATTCTACTGAACAGAAGATGGGGACGGAGCGCTTATGGGAATGCCCCGAGTGCTGTGATGTCGGTTCTTGAATCAAATCAAATCAAATCTACTGAACAGTTAAGTCCTGCAGGTGAATATAAAAAACTTCTGTGAGTTTCCCGACTGCTGTGATTTTGATTCTTAATTCAACATTCAAGGTGAATATAAACATTGTTAGCTGTGGTTAGGTTTGTGAACATGCTTTGTAACTAATTGTATGGTGCCAGGTTCAATCACAGCAGCAGACCAACTTGCATTTGGTTTCAACAGTGGTGTCGAGAGCTGCTCATTCAGAAGGCAATGGCAAACGACTGAACGTCAGATTGCCTAGTAAAATCACAAACAGCAAACTAAAAATGCTGGGGTTGGTTTCGCAACATCCCGTAAAGGACACACAACTAACTTTAAAGAATAAAACCTGTTTGTTGGGTTATAAATATAAGTCATTGACAAACATAGTTTTTTACTGCAAGACTTGCCCTTGATATATGATATTAGGCAGTCTGAAGAGATGCAGTAACTTGCCAGGTATCTAGAAAAATGGCAGCTGAACCAGTGGCCATACCCCTTTTAACTTTTAATGTTATCGGTAAACACATACGCTGATGATTCTGCACATGTAGCTGAAATCACAGGCTTTTCTCACATGTGTATTCTGAGTGATTCCATGAGCACGATCAGGTGGGCCAAAACAGGCTCCATGGGCAGATATTGGATTGAGTCCCTGCAACGGTCTCTTGTGCTTAGAGTTACCTTCATCCTTGTCCCAGGGTATTCAGGTGTTGTTGGCAATGAAAGAGCTGATAGACTGATTGGTTCTGTCATAGCTACAGATGTCCAGCCTATGAATAACACTGGCATTGTTAATGCCCTTAGTGAGTGAGGATGACTGGAGGATTTTTGTGGCAGCATGCCCACATTGCTGCTAATCTTGCAAGAATTGGAAGTACAGATCTGCACAGTCAGGCACGAGAGGCACACCGGACATATCAGAAGTTTGAACCAACATATGATTGGCACTATTAACTGCTGGAGATGATGTATTTGTTGAGAGAGGAATCTGATAACATATGGGTGGGTTGTTAATGCAACCCAGCTCATAACTTAAGAGTAGCAACCATGCACTCTTTTGTAGACAATAAGACTGCACAGCTATAATACCATGCACTGTTTTGTAGACAATAAGACTGCACAGCTATAATACCATGCACTCTTTTGTAGACAATGAGACTGCCCAGTTATAATACCAAGCACTCTTTTGTAGACAATGAAACTGCACAGGTATAATACCATGCACTCTTTTGTAGACAATGAGACTGCCCAGTTATAATACCATGCACTCTTTTGTAGACAATGAGACTGCCCAGTTATAATAACATGCACTCTTTTGTAGACAATGAGACTGCCCAGTTATAATACCATGCACTATTTTGTAGACAATGAGACTGCCCAGTTATAATACCATGCACTCTTTTGTAGACAATGAGACTGCCCAGTTATAATACCATGCACTCTTTTGTAGACAATGAGACTGCCCAGTTATAATACCAACCACTCTTTTGTAGACAATGAAACTGCACAGGTATAATACCATGCACTCTTTTGTAGACAATGAGACTGCCCAGTTATAATACCATGCACTCTTTTGTAGACAACGAGACTGCCCAGTTATAATACCATGCATTCTTTTGTAGACAATGAGACTGCCCAGTTATAATACCAAGCACTCTTTTGTAGACAATGAAACTGCACAGTTATAATACCAAGCACTCTTTTGTAGACAATGAGACTGCCCAGTTATAATATCATGCACTCTTTTGTAGACAACGAGACTGCCCAGTTATAATACCATGCACTCTTTTGTAGACAATGAGACTGCCCAGTTATAATACCATGCACTCTTTTGTAGACAATGAGACTGCCCAGTTATAATACCAACCACTCTTTTGTAGACAATGAAACTGCACAGGATAATACCATGCAATTTTTGTAGACAATGAGACTGCCCAGTTATAATACCATGCACTCTTTTGTAGACAACGAGACTGCCCAGTTATAATACCATGCATTCTTTTGTAGACAATGAGACTGCCCAGTTATAATACCAAGCACTCTTTTGTAGACAATGAAACTGCACAGTTATAATACCAAGCACTCTTTTGTAGACAATGAGACTGCCCAGTTATAATATCATGCACTCTTTTGTAGACAACGAGACTGCCCAGTTATAATACCATGCATTCTTTTGTAGACAATGAGACTGCCCAGTTATAATACCAAGCACTCTTTTGCAGACAATGAGACTGCCCAGTTATAATACCAAGCACTCTTTTGCAGACAATGAGACTGCCCAGCTTTAATCTCAGTGACAACATTAATCAGCAGGCATGGAAGGACTCTCCAGGAAGTTATTCAACATATGACATATAACGTGCCTGGCCAGAATTTAATTACAGAAGCTCCTTGAGTCTCAGTTTGTGTACAAATATAAATATGAGACTGTTGAACGACCTCTTTAGTGTCCTGTCCTATCAGTGTTAGACCTGTGTTCCCAATACTAAATGTATCATTCATTCTTTCTTGTAATATGAGGAAATCATTACTTCTACCAATAGATGAAGATGAAAGGAACCCTGTATATGCAACAAAGTGAAAACTGATGAGTACTTGCATGTGTATGGCAATGAGTTTGAGCCCAACTGTTCCTGGATTAGCAACAATTGGTCAGAAAGCTATAAAACAAATTTTGCAATGGATAAAAATATTTGACTTTGTTTCAAACTATGATAGAAATCTGATGCAAGTGGACCATTCTGTACCAGCAGTTGCTTATGTCATATATTACAGAGCAAACGTTCACTTCCAGCACATATTGATGGAGATCAGCTATTAGAAACTAACAAAATCAGTAATACGTGTGAGTACAAATGAATAAATAAAAAAACTAATGAAGATAAAGGTAAACAATTTTACCAAGGGAAAAAGTCACGGACTCATATCGCACCAGTGGAGTATCGGCTGTATGATGTTAGATGTTACATTTGATTAAAACCAAGAAACTAACAAAATTAGTGAAAACTAAGTGATATATTTAAATAAATCTGAAATTAAAAAACAAAAGGAAAGTAGTAAAGATAAAAGTAAAACAATTTACCAAGGGAAAAAGTCAAGGACTCGTATCACACCAGTGGAGTATCGGGTGTATGATGCTAGATGTTTTACATTTGATTAAAACCAAGAAACTAACAAAATTTGTAAAAAAAAAAAAAATTAGTAATACATTTAAATAAATCCGAAATTTAAAAACAAAAGGAAAGTGATAAAGATAAAAGTAAAATAATTTACCAGGGGAACAGGTTAAGGGCTCGTATCACACCAGTGGTGTATCGGCTGTATGATGCTAGATGTTTTACATTTGATTAAAACCGATTCATCATCAATGGATGATATGGCTAACATCATGCCGACCACCTTGACTTTCTAGGATTCTACCTGGTTCCCATTATAGACTTGACTGACGTGTGTTACAAGAACATTTAAAAAAATCAGACTGATTTGGATTTGAACCCATGACTGTTTGGCCGGCAGGCAGAGCATCTAGCTGCTACATGTCACAAGAAAGTGTTACAACAAATCTGAAACAAAAAATATTTGTATCTCTTATAGGTAAGATTCTGTAAGATGTGTATATCTTAGTACAGAAAAATATTGTAAATAAACACCACAGCACCTGCAGACATGTTTACAAAATGGCTCAGTTCTGCCATGGACTGGTCACTTAAATTGTATCAGACAGTGTTTTGTCAATGTTGATGATAGTGTAGTCTTTGAATGTATTTACACAAATAAATCTTTAAATAAAAATTGTGTATACCATCTTAACATTGTAAACCTTTGCTCCCCCCCCCCCCCCCCCCCCCCCCCCCCCCCCCCAAACAAAAATGTGAATGGCTGTAAATGTCATTTAGAGGAAACACTGAGCACAAGCAAGATTTACAATTAAAAAATAGAGTGACTTTGAGTAGACTTACAAGTTTCAAACGGAGAATGTTCAGTAAAAAAAAAAAAAAAACTCACATAGTAGCATTAAAAAGAGACATACAAATTTTGGTGCGGCTGACAGTAATTTTCAAAGCTGTGTAATCTAAGACTAATTGCAGGTAGAAAATACAATTTGCTGGTAATTTTCTTAATTTGATTTGATTTTGTATCCTTTTTGATAGCACCTCCTTCCTTTACTTGTCTGTTCTACGCCCATTAGTTGTTGGTTATTGCTGCCAAAATTGAGAAGTAAAACATCAACAAGAGAGAATGTAAACCCTTCTGATCTTTGTACTAATGGGCTACAGACTGGCATAGCATTTATGCACTAAATTTGGCATTCAGAGTTGCTTTTTCCTGCAAAGAGAAAAAAAAAGTAATTCAGAGTGTAAAATTTTAAATATTTAATATAAAAATGGAAAAGGTTAACAGATTAATCACACACCTGCATGCGTGTGCGCGCACACACAAACACACTCACACACACACATATATGTAATAATATAAAACAACAATCAAACCTGCAATGGCAATAAGAAGAAGTATTAAAATGTTTCACAACCTATAATATTGTGTGCACATGAGATACTGGATAATAACAGTGAAAAAAAAAAAAAAAAAGTAAAGGACCCTCTTCCAAGCCTTATAGGGCATATAGGGCTAGACCTATATTTTTATAGACCAATCAGCACAAGTTGAGTGATGTGGACAGCATCACGCTGGCTGCCTTTACTTCCCAGGATTTAGCACTTCAGTAAAGTATTCTTTCCATCCATTATGTATTTTATTATTGTTATTTAACATATTCCCATTGTTATTTTTAAAACCATGTGTTCTATTTTGATGCACTAATTTTATTGGCTTTAGTTCTTTTTATGCACGCGCTCGCACACACATACACAATACATAATTATTTATTATAGTGATTAGTTTCCATATCCTTGACAATTCCTGTATTCTCACATTTGCTGCCCAGCTACTTGTGTGGCTTCTTTACGTTCTGCTCTAAATTGTTGTTTATTTTATATATTCTTGGTGACATTTAGCCACTTCTTTCTGGAATTTTGAATCTTAACGATTGCTTAATTTGGTACACCAAGGCGTTTTTCTGCAGTAGGTTGAATTTATATTCCTAATGCCAATCCAGGTTTGGAAATTTTTTTTTCTCTGATAGCTTTGGAAAATTTAAGTTCTATTTTGTCTGCACATTTCTATTTGTTTGATGTTTCTTGTATTCAAGAACAGCTTAAAACTACAATTTGATTAGTTTTATTAAAAAAAACTTAAAAGTCTTAGTGACAACTGACAGTCTTGGTGGCAAATGAGGTACATAAATATATAAATGCCTCGATAACTGATTCAAATGGCACATTCAGAGCAAGAGTGTATATATAATCTAAGACAGGTGATTCTGTGAGATGATTAACTGTGGCCGTCCATAATTATGAGTATATTACATGATAAAGATGCAAGATAATGCCATGGTCAAAGGGAGCACAGTGATTTTGGAATTGTTCTTCTACATTCAGTCCTCAAATGGATCATAAGCCTTTAACCAGCTCACACCAAGACATCTTATCGTTTGTCATTGTGTGCAGCTCATTAAAGTCATCCCTGTATTTTTCCCTTATTCTGCAATTCTCTTTCCCAATTGTGTTTGGGTTAAATTTCATCCTCTGTCTGCCCTGTGGGTTCATGTGCAAGGATTTTCTGGGTATAATGTTATCATGTTTTTTTAATGGGCATCTTATCCAAATGTCAGCTCTGTAGCTTTGGCACTGTTAACCTAATTTGTAATGCAGAGGTGCTAGGTTCAATCTCAGCTGCAGGCAGTTTGGTAGCAGACCGTCTTGCCTTGGTTCCAACAGTGATATTAATAGCCAACCATTAAGAGGCAATGGCAAACTACTGAATATAAAATTATCTAGTAAAATCACAAGAGCAAAAAAAATGCTGGGGTTGGTTCTGCAACATTCTGTAAAGATTATGCAGCTTATGTCCCCTTGTTTCCATCTTTTGAAGAGCTGGGATTTATTTTGTTCTCCCCTAAAGCACCTTTTTATGGATCATGGGATTTTGGTATTAAAGGTGTTGATAACTAGAGCAGTGACAAGTATCAATAAAACAGAAGCTGTGTCTAGCGGTAACTCACACTGCCTGTCTCATCCACCAGCTTCCACACGCAGCTGCCCACACCAAAGTTAGTGTAGTCTGCTACCTGCTCATTCTCACTGAGTGTTGTATCCTTGGCTCCCTTGGCCCAGACCTGTGCAGAAATGCATACAATATTCATGTTGGTGTGATCAATGCAATAACCTGAACAATTACAAAACTTTGCTTTTATATGTTTCCAGTAGTAGCCCAGTAGCAGCAGTAATTTGAGCTAGCTAATTTCTTTAGTAACACAGTGCAGACCTGATAAGGAGAACTCACCAGGAACCCAAGAATAAGAAATTCTTCTTATCCAGGTAAAAGTTCAAGCATATGGTAATTGCTGGAAAAAAAAGAAAAAAAAACTATTCTTCACAACAAATTTGCCACATCTAAGATTGCCTTAAGCTGCCTGCACTGTAATACAATAATAATAAGTAATTGGGAATTTCAGCAGTATTACACCTGTCATGAGCCAGACTTATTTCAAAAATGACCTTGGCTCCCAGGTCGACCCAGCCTTGAATGGGTACCGGGTGCAGTCCTGGGAAAGTAAAGGCGGCCGGCGTGATGCTGACCACATCACCCATCTTGTGCTGATTGGTCTATAAAAATATAGGTCTAGCCCTATATGCCCTATACGCCTAAAGGCGTGGAAAAGAGTCCTTTACTTTACTTTACTTACACCTGTCACTGTTAGTTTTTGTAAAACTGTAGAATAAACAGGTCTCATAAAAATAATATTTTCAACGTTGCAACTACTCACTAGAATTTACCCCTAAATTCAATGTTGACAGAAGAGCACACTTGTTACTTAACCACAACAGTAGTTCGTATTTTCAGTAATTGCATGTCAATTAACATTTTATGACTTCTGTAACTAATTAACACATTTTTATTTCTAAATCCTATATCTGTGTCATCCAACACAGCTGTTATATCTTCACAGCTTCCCTGTTATACCTTAGTTTCCAGTAAGTACAAAGTAAACTACCAAGTGGGTATGGTATAGTAGCATTCTAAATTCAACAAATTACTCACAGTATACTTCTGGCCAGACTTGAGTTCAGTGTCTTTTAGTGCAACATTCACCGTGTCCTTGCCATTTGCATTCCTTATGAGCCGCCAGCCTTTCAGACTTTGATTCTGTGTGGACGTTAAATAATCTGCGATATTCATAAATTCAGAGAACATTCCTGTTTAAAACTTTGTAGAATTCTACTGTGGCAAATGAAACCATGCACAGATAAGAGAGAAATTAAGTTATTATTTAATTAATATTCATATAGGCACACACACACACACACACAAAATTGCATATGAGAGCATAAAATTATAAAATAAAAGTCAAGGACCAGCTACAAATGACCTGATAGGGTATATCATAAGTAAGTGTCCCAATTTTGACACACAGAGAGCAAGCACAGTGGGAATATAGCTTAAGCTCCCTCATGTTTGATTAGACTAATCTTCACTCAGAAGGTTAATTTCATACCAGTTACTACAGTTTACTCATAAGCAGTTCTGTTATCTGAGATTAGAAGCACTTCCCTATATCAGAGATAAAGTCTGTTTAATATAACCTTGCTTTGAGGTAAAACACATATTCATAAATCAGAGAGGAAGTCAATGTTATTATAAGTTCCTGCAGTTCTCATTAACCTAAGAGACATCTACAGAAAGGAAGTCTGTTAATTGAGTATTGCTCTTAGATAAGAATCATATGTCCATAACTGTTGAGTTGAGTTAAGAATTACATCACATCATTTAGGGCATTTTCATACGTACTCCGTCTCCATCCTCAGCAGCCAGCGCAGAGTTCCAAAACTTATAGTGCCAGTCGTAGTCTGGTTGTATGTCTGTCTTGCATTTCCTCTGAGCGTAGTGTGCTGACCGAACCCTCTGGTCACACCCAGGTGCATCATTCTCACCAGCCCATAATTAGTTTATCTTATGACTTCGTTACTTGTTCCCAAAAGGCTTTGACCACATCTGCTTTGTCATGCATCAATTCACCACCCAGCGGTGCAGATCCAGCCAGTCTGTCCGCCTGTTCATTCCCCATCATCCCGGCATGATGTGGAGAAAAGATACAAAATATTTTCACTACCTGTGACCTTGCAAGTGAAGCTTGCCACTCTGCTCAAAGCAATCCTGTCTTTACTTTTTCAGCATGCTTTCAGAGTCAGTTACAATTATGACATGTGTATTTTTCTTGTTCTCTAATCACCGGCAAGCTGCAGTGACTGCCTCCAATTCCATTCTAATGCTAGATGTTGTATCATATGCTAGGCTGTCCTGCACTTAAGATTTTCCACTGGATTTTGCTATGAAACCCCAGGTACTTCTCTTCCCTCTCAATACCGAACCATTTTCGTAGATAATCAGATCATCAGGATGTGAATTGTCAGGAATCAACTGTTTGACTTCCACCTCAGTAGCTCCCGCTTTTTTTTTTTAGCTGATTTCTGCTTTAGTCATCAAGGATTTTCCCCTTTTAAGCCTCTGATATATACTTGCAGCCAAAGCTTCATACAGAGAATGCGCTTTATCTGCAGCTACTCTGAGATATGACTTAGCCTGCAGCACCTTTAACCTACCTGCAATAGTCAACACTGCAAGGATGTTTTGCATGCTCACAATCAGGGTGTCTCTTGTACATTGCAGAATCACCGGCATAGTTTCATTCTTCCTCCTAGTTTCTCTAGCTGACTCTTCGAGACAGTGAGCAAACTCAGTTCGGCTCGGGCCACAATTCTTTTGAAGGAAAAATCTATATGATACAATTTTGTGAAGCAGTCGGTCACCCTAGTAGAGCCTGCCTGCTGGGGAAGAGGCAATGGATGTTCTTATGGAGTCCACACGCCTGGCGCCACCCCTTCGCTGACCAGACGTCTACATTCACGACTAACTATTCCACAACCATTCAGCCTCTGAGCACATTGATCCACTTTAGGCTTGGGTCCAGAACTGTGTGTCTGTTAAATACATCTTTATGATCCGGCATGATGCCTTGTGATTACAGCAATTTCTGAGATAGGACACTAGCCAGCTTGATCTCCCACAGATACCTGATTTACCTTTGGTTGGCAATCACAGTGGATATGTTTTTATAAAGATATATATATATATTATACATCCAAAGCAGTGAGAAAGAAGAAAAACTGAATGAATCATTGTTTTGAAATAAACAGTAAAAATTAGTGTGATTGTTTTTCTTGTTTCTTTTTTAAATCCAGAAACCATGAATTGTAACCCTTTGGCTCGGTACTATAGAGATCACAACCCTACGACCTTGATTCCATGATAGATACTGACAATCTGGGAAATATGTGGCTTTTCTGCCTATCCCGAGTGTAAAAGACCACAAGGAGTTTCTCACCTGGTCGCCATACAAGCTGGTTTAACAAAATTAGCTAATGCACTGGGCAAAATTCATAAGATGAATGGCTCTGTTGTGATCAGTCAATCACAAAGAAATCAAGAGCTTTCACAAAATTTTGTATTGTAATACTGTTTATATCTGCTCCATAATACGTGTGTTTTAGCTCCGTTAATTGGTTTTTAACTGTTTTTCAGTCATGTTTTTTTTGGGGTGGGGGGGGTGTGGGGGGGGGGGGGATTTATTAACCTAAGTTTGGCATCATACTTGGTGGACACCTTATCTGCCCTGTCTGCCTCATCAGATGATGTTGTCCAAGAATGCTGTATGTATTTACATCTCTATAGTTCTCTGCCTCTGATCATGCTTGATCCTGCATCTAGTGTCACCAAACGTCTTAGTAGTGTAGATTCACCAAACGTTGGGATAGCACGCAGCAGTTATCGAGCTGATATTTATTCTTTGATTTTCCTCCACCCTCATTACGACCTTGAAGCCAGAACACTAGCTTTATAATGATCATATTACCTGCATATCAGTGACTGAAGATCAAGCCCTGTCCAAGTGCTGCTGGCTGTTTGCCGCAAGGGTCTGTACACTAACATTTCTTGGTGTCAGCTTCACCCTACATGTTATACCTCCATAAATATCTATATCTTCATTATACTCAAACCACTATCTTTGCCAGGTATCTTTCAGACATCAGTCAGAAACAGTCTGTGTTCTTCAGCTATGTCTTTCAGATAGGAAGAAACAATCTACATTTTATAGCTCTATCATGAGAAGTTTGGATTCATGCTAAAATCTCGTCAATACAGAAATAAAATCACAGAGAAAATCAAAGATTGCATAGTCTGGTGTTATGGGACAAAAATGTGTCAGACTTGTCTCATCTCTGTGTAGAGTTTAACCAATAGAATGTCAGATGAAATTTGACCATTAAAATTACCTTAGCTCGTGTACCAGAAGTTGTATTCTCAATGACAACATTTTCTCCACTGTGTCCAATGCTGGCAATAGCAAGTGGCCCCTTGGATGATCTTTGGACAGTCAAACTTCCAGTTCCTTCTTTCAAACCTTCAAGAGGACAAAAAAAATATTTGCATGACAGACTAAGACATTTTGTTTATGAGATAATGTATGAATTACACACAATATAAATTAGAAAATAAAAGTTATAAACCTACACAATGTTAATTACAATGATTTAAGCAAGGGAAGCCCCACAGTAGATACAATCATTGAGATATTAGGTGTTCAGCCTTAACATATTTTTAACTAAAATATAAATTTAGGGTGGTCATTTCCAAAATTGCCTGGAACACATGTTAGCGAAGCTGAGTCAACTTTAGAACTCTTCTGGTAAGGAAAAATAATCCTGCCTCTAGAACACGGACCCATTGTTTTGGTTGTCAGGTGCACTGACAGCTATGTCACCATGACTTTACAGCCACCTTCAGCTGCTGAATTATCAGTTGTATATTCTTTGTCAGTTGAGACGAGAATGAGAATTCTTAAAAGCTATATAAATCCTTTATTGATATACTGAAGTGATGTGGTTTTATAGATGAATGATGAGAATACCCTGGACAGATCAAATAAAAGATTAATGAAGACGTCTTGAAAGAAACTAACTCACGAAGAGAATTGATTTCCCGCATCAGAAAGAGACAATCTACATTCTCATGTGATGAGAAGGAGACAACTGGAGTACATCGTGACGGTAGGAAAGTTGGAGGAGAGGCAGAGGGAGACCGAGAGAACAGATGCTGGACAGTTTTTACTTAATGGAATGGGGGATCATCTGTATCAGAGTTGATTGAAAGTACACGAGACTTAGGGTTGTGGATAGACATGACTAAAAAACGCCGCACGGTATGGAGAAGAAAGAAGATGTTTGAAAATATAGTTTGTAAATCATTTGTTTGTGTGGCAGAAAATGTTTTTATGTTTGAAAATATAGTTTGTAAATCATATGTTTGTGTGGCAGAAAATGTTTTTATGTTTGAAAATATAGTTTGAAAATCATTTGTTTGCATGGCAGAAAATGTTTATAAATAGTAACTATTGCCTCAAAAGTTAAGTCAAATTAAACAAGTCTTTGCTTACATATTATTTCATTGGTGTCTAGCAAGGACATTTTATGTCCATATTTATATATTTTCTTTATCTCCTGATAGTTTTTGGTGACCTTTTTTTTGAAAGGTGTCTTAAATTTTTAAAAATTAGTTTCTCATGTATCCTTTAGTCTTGTGCCGTGAATAACACACATCAAACACAAGCACATGCGTTGATGTCTGTGTTAATGTATACTCTCAGTATTTGGTGAGTTTCTCTGCTTAAGTGACCTTTTTTATTTCCACACCCAGGTTGTTTTTAATATCCTATGTCCACCTACATTCTGTTCAACACCTGCCTTTTCTTCCCAAGGCCATGCCTACCAGTGATGTCCTTTCTAAACCCTTAGACCTTTTATATGGTTACAACATTTACATTTTTCAAGATTCCTGACCGCACTATCACATGGTCTAGTGTTAATCACAAAGCCAAGTCTTCCATGGCTTGGTTACCCCTATGACATGAAAGACTATTAAAGCTTCCAGTTCTTGGTTACCTCTATGACATGAAAGACTATCTAAGCTTCCAAGGCTTGGTTACCCCTATGACAGGAAAGACTATCAAAGCTTCCATGGCTTGGTTACCCCTATGACATGAAAGACTATCAAAGCTTCCATGGCTTGGTTACCCCTATGACATGAAAGACTATCAAAGCTTCCATGGCTTGGTTACCCCTATGACAGGAAAGACTATCAAAGCTTCCATGGCTTGGCTACCCCTATGACAGGAAAGACTATCAAAGCTTCCATGGCTTGGCTACCCCTATGACAGGAAAGACTATCAAAGCTTTCATGGCTTGGTTACCCCTATGACAGGAAAGACTATCAAAGCTTCCATGGCTTGGCTACCACTTTGACAGGAAAGACTATCAAAGCTTCCATGGCTTGGCTACCCCTATGACAGGAAAGACTATCAAAGCTTCCATGGCCTGGTTACCCCTATGACAGGAAAGACTATCAAAGCTTTCATGGCTTGGTTACCCTTATGACAGGAAAGACTATCAAAGCTTCCATGGCTTGGTTACCCCTATGACATGAAAGACTATCAAAGCTTCCATGGCTTGGTTACCCCTATGACAGGAAAGACTATCAAAGCTTCCATGGCTTGGTTACCCCCTATGACAGGAAAAGACTATCAAAGCTTCCATGGCTTGGCTACCCCTATGACAGGAAAGACTATCAAAGCTTCCATGGCTTGGCTACCCCTATGACAGGAAAGACTATCAAAGCTTTCATGGCTTGGTTACCCCTATGACAGGAAAGACTATCAAAGCTTCCATGGCTTGGCTACCCCTATGACAGGAAAGACTATCAAAGCTTCCATGGCTTGGCTACCCCTATGACAGGAAAGACTATCAAAGCTTCCATGGCCTGGTTACCCCTATGACAGGAAAGACTATCAAAGCTTTCATGGCTTGGTTACCCTTATGACATGAAAGACTATCAAAGCTTCCATGGCTCGGTTACCCTTATGACAGGAAAGACTATCAAAGCTTCCATGGCCTGGTTACCCCATTTACAGCAAAGACTATCAAAGCTTCCATGGCTTGGCTACCCCTATGACATGAAAGACTATCAAAGCTTCCATGGCCTGGTTACCCCTATGACAGGAAAGACTATCAAAGCTTCCATTGCTTGGCTACCCCTATGACATGAAAGACTATCAATGCTTCCATGGCTTAGTTACCCTTATGACAGGAAAGACTATCAAAGCTTCCATGGCCTGGTTACTCCTATGACAGCAAAGACTATCAAAGCTTCCAAAGCTTGGTTACCCCTATGACAGGAAAGACTATCAAATCTTCCATGGCCTGGTTACCCCTATGACAGCAAAGACTATCAAAGCTTCCAAGGCTTGGTTACCCTTATGACATGAAACACTATTAAAGAAAGTACCGAAGAGTAAACTGATGGCAAAAAGAGGAAGTGGTAGACCAAGGAGAACATTTGTCAAGCAGACCTGTACAGATTTACCAATGTTTACATCAATAGCAACAACTGTCGAATGGAGGGATCAGAAAGCTTCATGACCAGCACAACAAGGGCTGAAATTCTTGATGTGCACATAGCGAAATAGTTTCTAGTTAGGGCAAATGTTTTGGTTAGAACAAACACAAATTTCAAGTTAGAACTAGGAATACTTTTTAGTTTCAGCAAGGAATAGTTTTTAGTAGGAATTTTTTTTAATGATTAGAGAAGGAATAGTTTTTTTAATCAGAGCAAGACACAAATTTTTACTGAATGGAGTGGTTTCTAGTCAGGTTTTGGAACAGTTTCACTAGAATGTTGGCATTTCAAGTTACAGCAGAAATGGTTTCCAGTGAGAGAGCTGAGTTTTATCCGATGAGAATAAGTAAACAAGCACTGTGAAGAATGCGTGTGGTGGTTTCTAGTACAAGTATGGAGTAGTTTCCTGTGAGAGCACATACTTGTTTTAAGTGAGAGACTTAAATAGTTTCTATGGGGAAAAAAGAATATGCATATTCAAAAAATGAAAAAAGCTTCTAAGGAGAGGGTGTCATAGTTTCTAGTGAGATGGAAGAATAGTTTCTAGGGAGGAAAAGGGAAAATTTTTCAGTGAGGGGATGTAATTATAGAAAGGGTGAACAACTATATAATGAGAGAATGGAATAGTTCACTGTAGAGTGCAATGGAATTTTAGTGAGAATCTGGAATAGCTACTAATGGGATGTCTGTGAGTCAGAAATGAAGTATTTTACTGTGAGTGAATGGAATAGTTTATTGTGAGGGAATAAATACATACTTTGAGTGAATGGTATAATAGTTTCTTGTGAGAGTGAAACTGTTTCAGATAAGAGTGAAATTGTTTCTAGTGAGAGTGAAATTGTTTCTGGTGAGAGTCTGGAAGAGTTTCTGGTGAGAGTTGATGGAATATTTTTACTGTGAGTGAATGGAATAGTTTTAAATGAGATTGTGGAGTAATCTCTAGTGAGTGAATGGAATAGAATTTCAAGTGAAAGGGTAGAACAGTTTCTATTGTGAAGAGCAGAATAGCTTCTAGTAAAGTGTGGAATATTTTCCACTGAGAATGTGCAATAATTTCTCTTGAAAGGGTGGAGTAGTTTTTAGTGAGAGAATGTAGTAGGTTATATTGAAAGGATGTTGTAGTGGATGGAAAATGTTTGGGGATGGAACATTTTAAGTAAGAGCATGGAATTATTCTAATGAGAGCAAGCAGTACTATTTTTAAGAGCTAGGAATACATTTTATTGACAAGTGTTAATTGAGTACACAAAATATTTGTAATAGGAGAAGCAATGTTTTGGAAAACAGCATGGAATAATTTGTACAGGGATTAAACACATGTTTCTAGTCAAAGATAGCAAATAGTTTCTAGTAAGAGTGTAAAATTATTTCAAGTCAGAGAGAATATAGAATTATTTCAAGTGAAAGGATAGAATTGTTTCAGCTGAGAGGATGGAATTATTTCTAGGGATATTGGGGAAACATATGTACAGTTAAAACAAGGAATATTTGCCAAGAAAATCAAGAAATAGTTAAAAAGGCAGATCATGAAATAGTTAAAAGACAGATCAAGGAATTATTTAAAAGGCAGATCATGAAATAGTTAAAAGACAGATCAAAGAATTATTTAAAAGACAGATCAAGGAATTGTTTTAATGGATCAGGAAATAGTTTCCATTAAAAACATCAAATAGTTTCTAATATTGTAAAACAGGGAATATTTGCCAGGAAAATCAAGAAATAGTTAAAAAGGCAGATCATGAAATAGTTTAAAGATAGATCAAGGAATTATTTAAAAAGCAGATCATGAAATAGTTAAAAGACAGAGCAACAAATGGTTTAAAAGATAGGTCAAGGAATAGTTAAAAGACAGAGCAAGGAATAGTTTTAATGGATCAGGAAATAGTTTCCATTAAAAACATCAAATAGTTTCTAATATTGATTTTTTTTTTTTTAGCATTTACTGTTTCGTAT